TTCAATAAACTAGCATATCTTTCAGATTTATTATATAATTTTTTCTCGTTACTGCATAAACTATATGCCATCCAGGTCTTAATGACATATATAATATAATTATATTAATAATTGTAGAAGAACATGATCCAATACAGTAATGATAATAGTTGTTTATAACCTTTTTAAAATAAAAATAAGGGATCAAATCATTGACTCAAAATCATGTTAACCTTTTTAACATGTTAACTTTTTAATATTAGTTTCAAATAAATTAGGCTAACTTTATCGAGATTTAGTTAAACTAAATTTGATGTGTCTCTTTTGCTTTAAATATTTGCTCTAACTGTTTTGAATCTGTTGACATAATTTAACTAATATATATCGCGCATATAAACCTACCCTCAAATTTATTTATTTTTTAAAGAAAACGTACGGCTGGATATTAAGGTCTTGATTTTTATTTTTTGGAAGAGCAAAATCAAGGTCTTGACCTTAAGACAGTAAAAACTGCTCTATAAATTATCATTCAATAATAAATTCATGAATATATTTAACTACTAGTGCAGTTTAAATGCCATCCACAAATTCACACACCAATATTTTCATATTATGGTCCAAATCAATGTTCTAATCTTAATATTGTTAGTCCCCAGTGATGATTTTTTTTTTATCAGTCATTGCTATGTTAAAAAATTACATTTAATGTCAAATTTTAAGAATGTCTTATCAACATATTAAAGTTTTGTTTTTATTGTTAATGTAACAAGCACTATTAGGATTAATAACTAAAAAGACACTCTATAAAATTAGTGTCGTTGTAACTCAAAGAACACCACCATACAAAGCGCCCCCCTTTAAGTCTTGTTTTAAGCGTAATTATGGTTTTGAATTTAAAATATTTGTAAAGAGTAAAAATAGATGCCTAAGTTATGAAAAAAAAATTTACATCTCGAGATCTTAAATTAATGGCAATTAAGATATTTTTATTTGTTGATATTGCAATGTGGTTTGCCCAAAACTAAGAACCAGTTAGTCAAATTAGCATAAATCGGTGTATGTGAATGCCAAAATTATAAAACATGATGAAATATATACTACATTCAGTCTTTAATATAAGAGCTAGTTGATTAATTCGTAGGGGTTAAGAAAATTAGTTAAGTTAGTTATTTGTAATAAATAAGATGTTATCTTTCCTAAAATACCCTTGCTAATAATGTGCATGAGAATTAACCTTGCATGAAAATCTTTAACATACGCAACCGCTATTATAAGAACTACTTTGGGAATGGGTAGATAAATATAAAATACAAAGTGAATTTAAGTTTTATATTTAGAATTAAACTGAATATTAAATTAGTTCTTATATTAAGAACATGGGGAGTAATAATCAAATTAAGAAAAAAGTGAAATGACATGAATATTGTTGGCAAGGCAGCTGATTAGCCTCTTTTTGAAAATTCAAACATTGAGGTGACCAGTCGATTGCATAAAAGGTATCCACGTTAATTTCTCACTAACCTGAGAGCAACAAGTGACAGTGAATATTCTATTAGGCAGGAATCCATATTACTAATTGTCCAAACTAGGTTTTTGTTTTGGAATTATTGAATTATATAGTACTTGATAGGACTTAATAGCAGAAATTGACTGAAATTTAGTTGAACAATTTTTTCGCCAAAAAAAAAACCATTTGAAGTTAACAGCTCATTGCATGATTATAATCTTAATTACTCTCTTTCACCAAATTCTAAGCCCTGAAACTAAGATGTGTTCTCCAAATTTTCGAGTATACAATGTAAGATCCATCATTAAATTGATTAATTCATCAGAATTTAACTAACAAATTTGCAAAATATAATCTTATAGAGAGTTTTGTTATCATATCGAAGCTAGGAATTCTGTCACACACACACACACACATATTTATATGCATCTCTTTTTGGTTAGGTGCTATATATTTCTAAACGCACATACTTTATGCTCAAATCTCATTATTGAGAGTCAATATCAATAAACAGAAATCTTTAAGAAAAATTGTCGCCTTTGCGGTGGAACATAAAATCTGGTAATTAAAGCCTATTTCTGCTACTTTAATAGCACCAAACTGAAATATATTCATGACAATTTTGTTGGGACGTGTTAAAAGTTCAGGTTGTTTGATTCTTCAGTGTATTAATTAGTTAAAAGTTTAATCATTAAATTTGTCCTAAAATAATAAATTTTTTCTATTTTTACCTCTGAAAAATGATAAAGTTACCTTTAGTGCTACACTTTGATTATCTCTCATCTTTCTCCTATATTTAATCGGGCAAAATTAAAAAAATTACACAAATTATCCTAATAACGTCTTATATTTTGGATCATAATTTTCTTTTAACTAATGTCTTATATCATGGACAAGAGCGGTACTTAAGTAAATCAATTTTTTAGAGGATACGCATTGCTTTGGCTCAAGAATTAATTTGATTAGCAAAAAATTAATTTTTTTTGTATTTTATCATTCAAAATAAGTGCGATAGTAGGATTCAAATTTCATTCAATTTTTCCCACTCAAACTGTTGCCCCTTAAGACACACACACACACACTATGGCATTTAGTGGTAATTAACTACTCCTCTTGTCCTATTTATTAGATAGAGAAAAAAGATATTTTTTAGTCCTATTTATAGGGCACTAAAATTTTTTTTTTTGTATAGATGTATAATTTTATCATTTATTTATTATTGTGTTAACTTTATTTACATGAAATATAGTATATATTAAATAGGGATAAAATTAGAAAGTTGGAGAGTTAATGAAATTTAAGGTTTTTCTTGAGTTTGTATAAAACATATTAAAAGTGACTTATAAATAGGATAGGAGGATCAATATATCATGGAAGCGTGACATATTATTGGATAATTTTGAAAATAATTATCAATAAGTAACGTGTATGATTAATATTTGTCTAATTAAATTATTTTTCATAAAAAAGGGAATGAAATGCCAATTTTAATGGTATGGTATGGTTAAGACTAGAGAGCTATGTCAGCATTAAAGCGATTAAGCGAAAGTTTCTCTCGAAGTATGATGTCAGAGTTTGGTGATATGTTTGTTTCAGTAATTTTTTTTAATGAAATTCTTTTCTTTTTAATTAATACACCGTTTTTTTTAACGAAATTCTTCTTTTTTATAAATTTTTTAATGAAATTCTACATTTGTATTAGAAAATTATGCTTTTCATTTCTATAAATTTATTTCATATTTCATTTACTTTTACAGTATACTCCTCTTGTCAAATAAGGCACTTCCAATATATTTTACATAGATTAATAAAAACCTTAAATTACATCAACTCTCCACTGAAATATAACAACTTTTTTAACTTATCCTATTTAATATATGCACTTTTTTTAAAATAACTATTTAGGATAAAATAATACATTCATATTAAAAATTTATTAAAGTAACTTATAAATAAAATAAAAAAATCTTCTATCTTTATTTTATAAATAGGACTAGAGCGGTAAAGATTTATAACCAATGTCTTTTAGCTTATGATGTTTACTTCCCGTAAGTAAAATCCTGTCGGTATTTTAATAATATTAGTAATATAAGCAGTTGATTATATATTTATTTTTACACTCTACATATATACGCAACTTATATCGTTTACATTAAAAAAATATAAAATGTCAATAAAAATAATATAATAAAATGAATTAAAACTATATTTATTAATTCTTAATTATATTGAGAAGATTATTTGAATTTTCAAATTCTCCCCAGTTTACAAATCCAACTCATTGTTGGCAACATGTTTTTTTTTTTTTAATGATTCAAGCACTCATATGAAGGGTTCAAATTCACTGGTAATAACCTTATGGCTTAGCTGGTTTAAAAAAAAAAACCGTATGGCTTATGGTTTAGTGTGTTCCTATAAAAGGTCACAAGTTTAATCTCATTTATAATCTCAACCATTAATGTCTATGACTCTAAAGCAATTTTTAAAAATATTTTTACGTAATTTAAGACAAAACTCTTTTATCATATTTACTTTGTATATTGTTAAATTATTTTTAAAATTATAGTTTGATTTTCATCCAAATATTGCCTAATTAATATCATTGGACTACAAAGTCCCGTTCTATGGCAACATATTCTAAGCATAATTTGCTCCTATAATTTACTCAAGAGGATGGCTTCAGCATGCTCCTTTCGGTGTTATTTATAAACTTCAATTTTGATAAGAGGCATGGTTTATATTATAAGCTTTAATTTGAGTTTGTAACATTCAATAATTCTTTTTTACTTTTATTTTTAATTATTTATTCTCTTTCTTTCTCGTATTTTTTCTTGTCACATTTTTTCACACATTCTATTTTACTCCTCTGGTCTTTAATATAGGACCTAATTGTTAAGTTGATTTTGATCTTAAATATAAGACATATTTATCATATTTATCAATTTTTTCTAAATTACCCTTATGGATACTTCCTCAACCATAATCAAGTAGAAGAGAGAGAGAAAATATTAAGGAAAATGATTATGGTGTTTTAGAAAAAATATATATTATATTTTTTATAATTAACTAACTTACCTAACTTTCTTAATATAATCAAATAAGTTAAATAGATCTTACATTAAAAACCAGAGGAGTATTATTTTTTATTTATTATAAAAACATATTTAAGAACAAAAGTATACATATTTCTAATATATTTATTATTTTAACTAATTATTTATTTTTTATAAATTAGTTATTTAAAATTTATAATAAGAACATGAAGGAGTATTAATTTAATATGTAGGGCTCATGGGGGCAAAGAATAATTTTTGTAGGGTTTTTTGGAATGATGAATTAAACATCGCGTGGTGAGCACGCTCTTCCTGGTAGGAGTGATTAACGCCAGTAGCCATTCTTTGGTCATCGTCCTTTCGAATAAGAAAGCGTATTAGCCATCTTCCCAACTGATTATTTTTTTACTGTCTTCTTTTTTAATATTTAAACTTTTGGTTGCCCAAACACATGACTGCGTTTTTAGCCCCTTGTCTCCTTCACCATCCCCTCTCTCTCTCTTCTCAGCTTCATCTTCATCTTCATCTTCTTCTTTCTTCTCCTTCTCGTCTTCTCTGAACTCTATCCATCGCCTGCACTTCTGTTCCTTTGTTTTATATATCGCTTATCAGATTCTCTATTTCAGACCTTCAATCTTTTCTTCGATAACTCTTCTTTCACTCCACCTCTCTTCCTTTCCCTTTCCCTTCTCTCTTTCCTTTTTTATTTCCCATCACTTCCCTTAAAATATACAAAAGCAAGCAAACCGCAAACCGAAACTACTGTTTCTTAAAAAAATTCCTTCGACTTGGATAGTATTTAATATCCCCTTCATCATAAAATTATTTTCCCTTTCGTTTCCTGTTTTCTTTTAATAATTTTATTTCTCTCTCCCTTTGATGTGCCTATGGCTGGTCTGGATTTAGGCACTGCTTCTCGCTTTGTTCCAAATCTCCACAGGCCTAACTTGCGCTTTCCCCAGCAGCAGCAGCAACACGAATCCGAGGAAGATGCGCATCGGGCCGATCCCTTTTCCAGCGACGACGGTCCCCACCAAGGCCTGGAGCTCGCCTCCACCGGACCCGGCGACATCGTGGCCCGTCGACCCCGCGGTAGGCCACCGGGCTCCAAGAACAAGCCCAAACCACCGGTCATAATAACCAGAGAGAGTGCCAACACCCTCCGAGCTCATATTCTCGAAGTCGGTAACGGTTGCGACGTGTTCGACTGCGTTGCCAACTACGCTCGCCGGAGGCAGCGTGGGATCTGTATTCTAAGCGGAAGTGGCACGGTGACGAATGTGACCCTAAGGCAACCAGGAGGTGCTGGAGCTGTAGTGAGTCTCCACGGGAGGTTCGAGATATTGTCGTTGTCGGGATCGTTCCTACCGCCTCCGGCGCCACCCGGTGCGACCAGCCTCACGATATACTTGGGCGGAGGGCAAGGGCAAGTTGTCGGAGGAAGCGTGGTGGGAGAGCTGAGGGCGGCGGGTCCGGTGATCGTGATCGCTTCTTCGTTCACGAACGTGGCGTACGAGAGACTTCCGTTGGACGACGAGGAGCAGGAGCAGCTTCAGATGCAGACAGCTGGCTCCGGTCAAGGCGGCTCCGGTGGCGGCGGAGGGAACAACTCATATCCTGACCCCTCTTCCGGTCTACCTTTCTTCAATTTGCCGCTTAATATGCCGCAGCAGCAGCACAATGTTCAGTTGCCGGTCGACGGCTGGGCCGGAAACTCCGGTCCACGTCCGTCCTTTTAACTAGAAAGAATGGTTTTTTTTTTGTGGATACGCATTAAGGTCAGCAAATTCATGGACTACAACTACTACTACTGCCCCTGTATGAGTTTATAATGCTTCCCTCACTCTCTCTCTTCATTTACTTCTTGATGATGTAATTTTGCGTTTTGAGGAGTTATAATTACTGTACTTGTCAATTAGCATCTCATTGTTTCCTCTTTATCCATTTCCATGAACCTAGCTATCTCTGAGCAGTTATTTCCTTTTCTGGAATGTTTTAAGGATTCATCTTTTAAAACAATCGCTTGCACATGCATTATTTACCTCATGTTTCAATGAAGGACTACTGTGGTTTGTCGTCCAAACATGAAGCAGTGTTTATAGCCACTCGTGTTCTTTGTTTTCCTTAGTTACCTTAGCTTCCCCTAATTTTCACAACAACTAGTACGCTTTTGTATTATTAAGTCATTGGTTTGACTAGGTTATCACAATATGATCATTATTAAATACAATTCTCGTGTTAGGTATTCCACTTGGGTTTCCAGAGAAGAAAAAAGTGGCTCTTTACAACATTAATGTTATATTGCCTTGACTAATTTGAATAAATTAAGAAAACTAATTAAATTAGTTATTTGTAATAAATAGGTATTGTATTTATTATAATATTCATGTTAATCAAGTGTATTGGTTATAATTACTATTATTACAAAGACTGTTTTGAAAAAAAAAAAAAGATAAACATGAGAGACAGAATGAATTAGAATTTTATATTTAGAACCAAAATAAAAATTAAACAAGCTCTTGTATTAAGAATTGGAAGTGGTATAACAATAGTGTTTCTATTTCTTGGCCATTAAATTTAGCATATAACTGTATTTGAATATAACATTCCTGATCGTCATGAAGAACTAGTATTGATTCTAAATAATCTTACATATCCATTTTCGTTTCTATATATCAATGCTGACCTGAGTAATTGGAGTGCTATTAATCTCTCCTCTTCACACTTATTTTCGCTGCATGTACAAGAAGAAAAAGGAAACAATGTCAAAAAATGGAAAAAAATATCTACTGTCTGATAATCTTCTCTAGTCTCTTGGTACTTCAATTAGGATTCTTTTTCTGGCAGTCGTTAATTGCCTCTGCATATTACATTTCATGCATCATGATCATCTTTAATTTCATCTTTTATATTCTGGATTACACACACAGAGATATAGATATAGAACTACGCGCGCGCGCGCGCTCACCGCAAAACACACAAGTGAGTCTTTAAATCGCTTCCTTCTCTAGCTATTTAGTATCAACACTAGCTGCCATCTGATTATCTGGAATGGAAGTATAGGTTTTGTTTAATCACTGACGCATACTTTTGCTCAACTATCTATCTGTTCTGAATCTTCTGCTGGTCATCCAAAACAAACCAGGTGATTCTGATCTGCCTGCAAGTACTTGCCCTAGAACCTCAGCCTTGTGACTTCCAAATATATCTTTAATCTGGTTAAGGGTTTCTCAGGACCAGACTGTACGGTAAGGCAGTGGTATTCTAACGTAAGACGAGTTATATTTCTCTGAATATATAAATAATCAAGTAATTTCGAAGTGAGTATGGATTGGATGGGGGTAGGTTAATTTCAGGGTGGCCGGGACATTATTAAATATTGCAGAGATGTAATGTCAACTTCCCTTTAAATATTCTCCACTTGACGAGTTTGTATATGAAGAAGAAAGTAGTGCTTATTACTTTGCTTGCCCCCCAATAGTGACTACTTAGTGAGGCCGTACCACACCTTTGATGACTGTAATGGCGTTTCAATATATCCTTGTTGAATTTTTGGGGTCATTTTATATGAATACACGTTAATTGCTTCAAGATCGATATGCTTTAAATATGCTTCGTTTGCCTAATTAATTAACCTAGTACCCAGCTAGCTAGCTAGCGAGATGATAATATATATGAACTCTGGTGATTTGATTTTATATTGATCAGCATCTGGAAGAGGGAAAATCTGATATCCACCTTTTATATTTCAATATGAAACTTCGCCTTTGCAATGAACAGAACTTAGATTATGTTAATTAATACCATCTACGTACTGTGTGATTGATAATTTTATAATTCATAAAGTTCGTATTTGATGTCAGTTCATTACAGTTCCTGGTTATATGCTCTTTTGATAATGAATTTTTATGGCATTATTAAATTATTCAGATTGTTAAAGTACAAAATATTAGCATGTAATACTAACAAGCTATTAGTTGACATGGTAAGCAGTTCTACTCTCGTAAGAAGGAGAATACAAATTCAAATTTCGGAAAGCGCAATTATTAGAAGGATTATAACCTTGACGCTTTTGATCCAATAGAGATTAGTTTCAAGTTTAAAGTGACTTGAGGATACTTTGAGTTATTAAAAAAAAAAAGAATATTAGCATATAATTATAGAAGTGACTTTGACCATTCCTTCTCTTGTATTTTTATGCATATTAGAACATACTCTTTCCGTCTCTTATTATAATATCTAATTTTTTGAATGGGTCTGTCTCTCTTTATAAGATTCTCTTTGAGTTTGTCTGAGCATTTAATACATTATTACTTATTTTACCCATAATCTAGTGTATTTAATACATTCTTTTTTTTTTTATCTATCTTACTATTACTCTATCACATTTACCCATTTATATATAGAGGGTATATTAGAAAAAATTGTATTTGCTACATATTAATTACTTTTAACTAATTTTAATTGTTTTTTTTAAACCACGCAAGTTAGTTAAAATGATCTTATACTAAGGGACGGAGGGAGTAATGCTTAAGCTCCATTATTATATATTTAATCAAACACCTATAATGGAGGGACAAATACCAATTAATCAAACTCTCTGGGTGTTCTCCACTCACAGAATTTCAGATTGCTAAAACAGAGTAGAGTTCAACAAGGAGGAATGTAGTCACTGGATCAAGAATAATAAACTTTACCACACTACGCAGGGTTAGTTAACCAGATCCTACAATGTTATTGTGCTCTTTTAATAATTAAATCTTTACATAGATTGTTAATCAAAAGTTCTAATAGATACTTTTAATGAGTGTTTTCTTTAGTCTTCATCTATTCTTTTTCAGAAGGCTCCATACTTTTTGACTTTACTTTCTTTACCAATACCTTCAAAGATTTTCTATGTACATGTTCTTATTACCTCAAATGATAATTTACCATTTTCTCTTTAATAAACGACATCTCAACTATTATTTATATATGTTCATTTTAAATATTATCTTTTTTTGTATGATCATGTATCCATTTTAACATCTTTATCTTTACTATCTCAGTTTAAGCATTGTTATATTTTTGAAGTCCAACATTCACTATGATCTTATAACAATTTGATAAAACTTTCCCATGTCTAATCTTTACATCATTTCTCACGTCCCATCATCATAAGAATGGTTGTAATAAGTGCCATATATACTAGGATTTCCCCCTTACTTTGACCAAATATACTCTCTTCGTCTTTTTTTGATAAGAAATAGGGAGTGACAAAAAGAGAAGTTAAAAATTATTAAATTCTAAATTAGATTTGGTATTTGCAAAATTTTCAACTTCTTTTTTTGTCATTTTCTTTTAGAAATATATGACCAAATCATGTACATTAAAAAGTTAGTCATTAAAATTGATTAAATACAACAAATGTGTAAAAAATTTAATTTTTTTTTTTAATAATACCCTTATTTGTGTGTGAGTGAGAGAGTATAAGAGGGAGGATTAAAAAATTTATTAAAATAAAGAAAATTATGGAAGAGAGAATATGTGATAGAGAGAGATGAATGATGCTCACATATGTTTTTTATAAATAGAGGCAAGATAGTAGGTATTTCTTATAAAAAGGGAAGGGGGGAGTACTAATAAGATCAACTGGGAAGAACTAAATCATAGTGAGAAAAAGCACTGACGGAAGGCAATGTGAAGCACAGACCAACTCTACAACTACAAACCCATCCATCAGGTGAAATTAATTAAGTTATGAATTATCCAATAGAAGAAGTTATTCAACGGCATTAATCCCGCTATAGCTATAATGCCATCCTCTCCTGTTCAGAAAAAAAAATACCATTGAAAATATTGTTTGAAGCATTATTAAATAAAAGGCTATTCAAGAAGGGTTATTTAAGTTATCCAATCATATAAGTATCTAAACCCAATAAATGTCTATCGAACAAAATTTATCTTTGGGGAACATATTCCATTTTTCGAAAAATGCTATAGATGGGACAAGAACTTTTTTTTGGCGAAACTAGAGGGGCTAGACTTAGCTTTGAGTTGTCGATTTGGCAAGCCTGAGATTTATAGCTTACCTGACCCTAATTAACCTTAAAAAAGGAATATATAGAGTGTAACTTCAACAACCTTTAATTAAAAATGCCAAATGTGTGAGTCTGAACTGATTTTAAGGTCTCTTGGGCTTGAGAGAATTTATCACGATAAACTTTAGAATTTGTTTTATTTACTATGGCTGTAGAATTACTTCTTTAGTTGACAGCTTGTGTTATAAAGTAATTTATTATAAGAGAGATGAAATAAGTCAATATTTATCATTTGATATTATTTATATAACTAAATAAACATGCGAGTACAATTTTATTTGGGTTGTTAAAAGCATTCATTTAGTGACGACAAGTACATGTTTTCGTATATTGGTTAGTGATAGTCTATATAAAATTATTGTGTTGTTAACATTTCATAATATACAAGAGATTTAGAGAAAAAGGCGTTGGTTGTGGCACCTAAAGAGTTGTTAAAACGGAGAAAGATCCAGTCTTCTCTAATAATTATTATGCACAAAAAATTTGATCTTTTTTTAGAGTGTAAACTTAGAGTCTTCCAAAATTATTTTAGATTTAAAACTAATTTCTGGCGGATTGGAAGCCAATTGGGACAATCAATCTTTCTTAAAGAGACATTTAAAGAGACAATGGAATAATGAGGTGAGGTTGTTTACAAGAGTCATTTTTTTTCTGTTTATATACTTCATATCTCTACCTTCTTCTGTTGGCAATATATGTGTGTGTGTGTCTGTAGCTTCTTCTAATTAGAATTAATATATAACAACAACAATAATAACAAAGCTTTATTCTACTAGGTGGTTGATCAGTATTAATATATATATATATTTAATGCATCATGTCCTTAAAATCCGCAACAAAGTGCATTTTTCATTAGTCATGCCATGAATATATATATGTATATATTGTTTGGTATTACGCAATATATAAAACGCATCTAATCTATTATATTTTATATATATATATATATGTAGGTATGTATTGTTAAATCATAATCATTGTGACGTACATATACCAATACAATATCTCAAGTGGGGTTGGATAATTAAGTGTTAGGAAAAAGGAAAATAATAATAATTTATAGCATGAATAAAAGAATCGAACTGACTTAGTCGTGCGGGCAAATATAATATCAAATTATGCTTATGCTTCCACCCACCGTTTGATTCTAAGCTGTCAACTTTATTATACATGGATAAAAAAATAAACAAGATAGATCATCACTTGAATTTTATAATTTTATAAGAAATTAGTAATCAAATTGTGTTGAATTAATCAAGTAATATATAGACTTTCCAACAAAGAGTGATTATACATAACCATGTTTTAGAGGACTGTGATGATGCTGTGTGGCCACCACCTTGATGGGGCCAAAATGATAATCATATCAAATTAAGTACTACGGATCAACTGTTTAAATCCATTCATTATTCATTAAGATTTATTTAACAAGGAGAGTGGAATAATTAATCCAAGTCATAATGAGAAGATTTATTGTGTTAATATATGTTAATTATGGTGCACTCACCACGGGATAAGATTATTGTTGAAACGAACCAAACGATAACAACCTACAATAACATAATAAAAAAAAAAAAGTGCATTCTTTTTGTTCCGCTTCATTGACTTTTATATTGGCATTTTAAATTTTTTAAAAAAATATAAAATATTTTAAAAAAACTTCTGAACTGTAAAATTTAAACAACAATAATTAAACACAAAAAATGCAAAACATAAAATGCCGATTTTCAAGTCTGATTCTTTATTTTCTACCCTAAATCAAGATCACACACATATATATATGGCTCAATTCAGGAAAATTGGATTTCTTGATGAGAAGTTCTTAATTTTGTTCGGTTGAATTAGGTTATAATTAAGGTTCCAGTTAAGATACACTGAATAGTTCATGCCAATAAATAGTTGAGAACCAGAGAAGTACTTTGCGGCTTTGTTAGGGTTAAACCTAGGCCATTGAAATTTGAAAAGGCCTTGTTCTAGAGAAGCGAGCTAACCTTTGAATTTGAGATAAGGGTAACTTGTGAAAATAAATGAGTTGAACGTAACTTGGAAGAGCTGAAACGTTCAAAAAAAAACAAAAAGAAGTCAAATCTTCTGCGCTAGTAAACTTTGACCCAACAAAGCAAATGTCAACAACAAAATAATTTAGGCTTAGATTTTTTTTTGACCTTAACTTAGGCTTAGATTGAAAGAAGAATGACAGAAAAAGAAACTGAAAATTACAAACCCCAAATCAAGTTTGGTAATACAATTTTATTTGGTATTGACAAGTCTGAATTTGTAAATGATAACAAATTTTTGTTGATACTTTTTATTTGACATTTACAAAATTTCAGCTTCATTTTTTTTTCATTATCCCTAGATTGAATTGTTTTTCTCTTTTGCTTTTATAGAAACAACCAAAGGTCAGCTTACGCAAATAGTTTTTCAACATGGAAGAAAACAGATCTCAAGCTCAAAAAGGACTCTAAAGCTAATCATTATCAGAAAAAGCTGCTGAAAAATTCGTCATTCCAGAATTTATTATTTAAATATAGCTTAAATTTGGTTAAGGATTTGGACATAATTTTTAGTAGTGCAACTCTTTTTCTTTTGTTTTTTTTTAAAACAAAAAATCTTTTTCAACTATGTGCAATCTGCCTTTAATTATATATGTGTAAAATGGAAGACATTGCATATAACTCAAAATATATGTTACATATAATTAAAGAAGAGTCACAACTCTTTTGGGCAATAAATTTTATTACTCCCTCTGGTTCTTTTGTTTAAGTTTCAATTTTTTGAATGAGTTTTGTTCTCTTATAAGCTACACTTTGAAAATGTCTAAAAACTTAATACATACTTTTTTATTTTTTTTCAGAACATATTTTTTATTTTATATTTAATTAATTTATAACTCTTTATTAGCAAAAGTAATGATATATTTTTCTCTCATTTTTTTCCCATTCATTTTATCTCATCTTTTCTTTTTTTGCTACTCATTTTCTCTCCCACTTGCGCTTTTTATTAAATTAAATAACGATGCTCTAAAAAATAAATTTTATTTTTTATTAATTTTAATTAAATTTATCGTTTTTGTAATTTGATTATTTGAAATTTATTAAAAAGATGGGAAGGAGTATTCAATAAGGTCATGACAGCTAAACCCAAATCAAAATACATTTTCACAAACAGTCTTGGGCCACTGATCCAACTAAAACAACTATGATGGACTTGGGCCTGTTTGTCACCATTAAAAGTATAGACCTCATTTCAGGAACCAGTAAGATGAGCTTTGTCAAGTTCATTAAATTAAGAAAAATTAAACATAAACACCTTTTCTTCTCTTCTCTATTTTCCACTCTGATGAAATTTATTAAACGTAACATTCTTTAGCCTGGAAGGACCAAGTCTTCTAATCTTTTAGATTGAATGGTCAATATTAATATAAAACATAAAATTTTATTAGAATTCATAAGTTCTAAAGACTATGCATGACTCGCAAGCCCAAAAAAAAAAAAGAGTATGACTCGTGTCTCGTGGGACTTTATATCAGGCAAAACAAACATGCCCAATTGCATGCATGCATACATACATATATATATTATAAATCTAGAAGCAGAGTTAAGATTTAATTATAAAAAAGGTTGATATTGAAAAGTATTCGTAGTATATATAAAAGCTTATGTAAATATTAAGGAGGTCGAAAATGTATAACATCGATGTAATATTAAAAGGGCTGGCAAAAAAAAAAAAAGTAATATTAAAAGGATTGAAAATTAAGCAAAGGGATATGACTCTTGTCAGTCCCTCTCTCTTCACTTTTATATGAATCATAAACAGATCGTAATGATATTTAGTTTTTAGATCTTCAAAATTATTTTATTCCTTTTTGAGGGTGGGATTCATATATCTTAGACGTAGTTGAATAATCCTTAAAAATATTATAAACGGAAATATATTTGTGTATATGTATATATATAAAAGGATAGAGATAAATGATTAAGACTTGAAATATTGGTTAACCTTGATTTGTATGCACAAAGTAATTTCCAATCCTAAGCTAAACTCCTGTGGATTAGAAACTGCAATATTTTCAATATCGTCCGCTGCAACAGAGACATTTTCTGATAGTAGAAATATTGAATGTTCGATGAAACGAGAGACAGTAGCAAAAACATGGGATTAGTTGGACGATGAAAGAAAATTATGATTCATCAGACTCATCAGAATAGAAATCAATGATCTCCTTCCAACTGAATTTGCAGGAAGACGAAAGGTCATTATGAATGAGCCACAACATGTGCTCGAACAAAATGGCGTCCACATTCACAAAAATGGTTCTTTCTTCTCTTCTGATATCTGACTCGGTCGTCTCCATCAAAACCCTAAAAGGCTTCTCGCCAAGAACAAATGGGTCCACCACAAACATCCTCCTCTCTTTTCCCACTATAACACTCACTTTTTCTGATTCCTCAAAATCATCATCGACATCTTTTCTTAACAACTCGTACCTTAGACGACCATCCTTTCTCTTCCATGAAACTGGTAACACCGAGCAGCATCTGCAATCCATAGAATATTCTAAAGCTTGTGTATGTCTTTGCCTTGAGATGCAGTTTACAGCACAGGCTTTGAAGGGTGAGTTTCTGTGTTTCATAAACTCATGATGTTTCTTTGCCGACTCTAAAGTGGGGCAGGCCTCCGTTGATTCCTATGAATATATTGAATTGCTTGGCCAGCACAGTCGCAGGAGTTACTCCAACTGCGTTTATTTACAAGACAATAACGTTGGACAAAAACAATATGGAAATTACTTAATATAAGAGTTAGTTGAAAATTTAATTTTGTTGTGAATATAAGACCTTAATTCATTTTAGTTTTAACATTTATCTATTTTGACCCCAAATAATCCCTATGATGGTTTCACATGTTAAGAAGTTTTGGTAATTTTAATATACATGATTAATAGGATTATTTTTGGAAAGACGATTTCTATTTATTATAAATAACTAACTTAATTAGTTTTTTTAATATTCACAAATTAGTTATCTCACTATTATATTAAAGACCAGATGTAGTAATAAATATATAACATGTTTGCATCATATTCATAACTAAGAATCAAACTACTTGGGACCTATTTGGGATCGTATTTTTAAATTATGTTTTACAGAACACCAAATAAGTATCTGACATGTATAAATTTTCTATCGACTTAAGTTGATTACAAGTGCTTATATGGGTCTGGCTTCTGTCCGCTGCCGTTATCGTCTGCTGCCCTCCTCTGCCTTTATACGGCACCGTCCGAAGCAAAATGATAAGAGAGCAAGAATAATAAGATAAAGGGTAGGGCACTTTGGCAAATGGATAAAGACAAAAGCGCCGGCTGAGAGAGAGAGAGAGAGAGAGGAGGAAACGCCTCTTAAATATTAATCCTAGTTTGTGTACCCACCTGCACCGAAACATTTTCTTGAAAAACTCAGTTAAATATCTTTTTTAGCCTCTTAGTTAAACAGATACATAAGAAAAAGAGAAAAATTATTTTTTTAAAAAAATAAACCATCACTTTCATTAACAAAACACATAAAGAGTTAAGTATCTAATAGGAGTTTTGTCGGACTTCGTTGTCAATGTATTCTTTTTCTTGTTGATAGTTTATTTTTAGAGAAAATGATATAAGAAGTTAAAAATTAAAATATTCTAATTTAGGTACCCAAAGAGTATTTTGTAAATATAGTTAAATAACAAAAATGTTCTTGTATCAAAAATTCTATTAATAAGTTATGAACCGGCAATAATAAGTGTTAAATAGTAAATAACAAAAAATTGTACTAGTAATTACAAGTTATTTATTAATAAGTTGTTAATTAGCAATGATAAGTATTGAACAACTAATGACAATAAATGAACTGACAATAACAAGTTTAACAGCTTTTTAAAAAAAAAATTATATAAGGGCATTTTAGTCATTTGATATATTTGCAAAATATCATATCAGGAACTACTTCTTTTCCTGAAATTTTGACATCTTAGGTAGCTGAATTGGGATATTGCAATTTCTAACTTCTTTTTATGCCATTTTCCTTATTTTTGTTACTCCATTTGGGCCTTTGTCCCTTCTTCTTTGAAAACCCACATGAAAACCCACATGACAACTACACAGAAAAGATACGGGGTTTCTTGGCGAGGCGGTGGAGATCTCCAACAAAAGAGGATGCCGACACCCAAATGACATTTCAACAATTTGGATCACTCAAGTGTCAATATTGCCCTTCCATGAAGTAATTCTCCATCGTTTCTATGTGGTTTAAGATATTTGGATTCAAATCTTTTGAATGAAAAAAATCATTACTAGGAGGGCTTTAAATTATTTGATCTAATTTGGATTAATCAAGATCCAACATAATTCTTGAAGATGAATTGTCCCAAGAAATTGAAATTGATGATAACAGTTTGTAGGTTAATCCATTCCTTGGTATTGAACTTCCATTTCCATGAATATTCTATTGAATTTTTATAATTGGATTTTTTTTTTAAATTCTAGACATACATAATTTTTTCCAAATTAAACAAATGAAATATTAAAGCAAAGTCAACCAATTAAGCATATAATGAACACATCTAATAAGGTAACCAGGTTTAATTATGTGCATTTAAAATATCCAGAAACCACATGATTGCCTTGACAAATTTAACAAAACAAAAATAGATTAGTACAAAGAGCAAAACAATAATAGATCAGTAATAAGAAAATCTACTTCATGACCTTTTTTTTTTTTTGGAGTTATGCATATATATTTTTTATTAGAGACAATTCTATTTAAGATACTGTTAGACAGTAAATATAAGCACTTCTCTTAACAAGAATTCAAATCTTAGTTTACCATCTACTAAATCTAAACCCTAGTTACTTCATGATCTTAATGAGGAATTTTTCAGCTATAAAATCCTTAGAATTTTTTTACCCGCAAGTCATTATCTATATTGGACATATAATGGTTTGTTACCCAAAAATCTACACCTCATCCTAATTAAAGGATTGCTTAGATTAGCTTTCTAAAAATAATTTTATGATGCATAAGATAAGTATAATATAAATTTTGTTTCGACTAACGTGAAAACATTCTTTTGAGTGCTTTTGGGTTTGCCAAACTTCCCCCAAACACAACTATGAAAGTTGCAAACATGAACCTCCTAAATATTGCCAAGGTCAGTTGGCCTGGTACAAGAAATAGAACATAAAATCCAATATCCTTGGAAAAGCAATTCAGCACAACAGAATTTGGATAATAGAAAGCATATTCTCTGCTATAAACGCTGACAATCTTTCAATTAAGAAAATATTCCTAAATCAACTGAGACTAAAAACAAGGATAACGGAAATCATATCGTAGTGTAGCCTTCAGGATAGGCTCTTCTAAGATTGGTCCCCAATATTGTTAGTTAGCATTCAAGAATTGACCCTCATCTATCCACTAATCCATACATCTGCATAGTAAAGTCATGGAGCATCTTCCAGGCCAAAAAAGAAGTCATAAAGCTGCTTCACTGCTGCGTTTGACCAGCCCATAGTTGAGGATGATACATCTGCATATTGTGAATGGGCTGGCTATTATTATTGTAGAGTCCAGGTCCCCTATTAAAATCACTATTATTGTCATTCTCATCAGAGGACTCAGATGAAGGGCCTTGAGAGGCAGGGCTGGTAGAAGTCGTAGGTGCACCAAAATTTAACATTTGGGAGGCTGGTGCTGAAGAAGGCCCTGATTTCTGAATATTTGAGTTCGACTTTTTCCCATCAGCAATAAAGCTACCCACGATGACCTGTCAATAATTAGAACAGTCACAAAAACATAATCAGTTTGGCTATCCATGATGCGTAAAAACTTTCCAGTAACGTTCAAAATATGAAATTACTCAATGAGCTTTCTTTCAGGATTGAAAATTTTCTACCATAGAGAGAAATACCTGCACTGGTGATGCGGCGATTAGCATTCCAGCAACTCCACCACCTAAAACTTTACCATCTGATCCCGCAAGAGACACACTAAAGCCACCTGCTCTGCTACGGCCATTATCATCACATGGCAAGAAAGAACCCGATAGAGATATGATCTCAAATCGGCCCTGTCATGGGAATTGGCATCTTGTGAAGAGAAGTGATGTCCAAACAGGTTAAGTTCCACAGCTTTAATTAATTTAACACCACTAGTAAATAGTTAACATTTAGTACTTTTCCATATCCATATTTATTACAAAAAAAAAAGAAAGAAAACAATAAATGCAGTTCTTCCTCGATTAAAAAAAACAAAAAACCATTCGTATCAATATGGTTGTTGATTTGGTAGATATCAACATTTAACAACCAGTTTCAGAGTGTAGAAGGCAGGAAGAGATGGGGTAAAGGAACAAAATCGTAGGCTTCAAACAGGATGAGACAATAGCAAATTACAAAATCTGAACCCTAAATGGGAAAATATGCACCATACAGACAAACTCATGTCTATTAATCAAGTTTCACTGTTTCAGTCAGTGTCAGTTACAAACTTACAGTCAGAAGTACTCTAATGCAAAATCCCACCCATCCCACCATCCCTGATTGATTCAAGGTCCTAGTATTCTTGGCACATTACACAGCTACCAAGTCAACACAAGCTTCTCCGTTGGCTTCAGTTCCTAAATTTAGATCACCAGCTACCATGGTCCAGATTCCAGATGCTTAGACCCCACATTCACCAGCACAAAACTCCTGTTCCTAGATTCTACTTTCTATAACTGCCAATTCCAGGGAGCAAATAACCTTCATCATGTAGTAATTTCAAATCCATGTTTCATCAAAATGGCCTGTCTTATATATGAACTATTTATACTTCCTCCATTTTGCACCAGAAAGATAGGATTTAAGGAGTTGCAAGTTTACCCGAAACTATATTTCATTTTAGTAAATCCGTAACAAGCATTTCTTTTCCTGGTAAGTAATACAAATTAAGATTGTAAACCGCGGCTAATTTCATGAGCCTTAGTTCCAGCGGTCTACAGGCTGTCACTCCTCTATGGTCAGCACCATAATGCAAGTTCCATAAGCAGCCAAAAAAATTTCTTAGGATAAGACTTTTACAATACCACACAAAATCTAAAATTATAACCAGACATTGTCAGTTGAGGTATTGACTTGATACTCGTCTACCTAATGGAAAGGGGATGCAAAGGCTATGCACCAAAAGACCCAAATGTCTATGGCATCAGATATTCCTGTTTCACATCCAACTCCAATTCAGCAACAGCTTTGCACCACAATCCACAGGGTAACACATGCTTTCCAACTTAAATTTATCTTGGAAATGTTAAAATTAAGAAAGGCAGCGATTTCACAATAATTAACCAGGGAAGCAAATATCCATCCAACAACTTCCAAATCAAGAAGGATTTGCTCAATAAACATAACAGTGTGTGATACCTGCAGCCGAACTCTGTAAAAAAACAATTTGAATACTACATTTTCTTAAATGGCTTCATTACCATTCTGAATTTGAAAACTCAGATACCCTCTCCCATGACACAGAAAGTAGTATTGGCAAATTTTTTCATGAAAACAAAACAAAGAGCATCAAGGAAGTAAGAACAATTAAAGAATACATCAATACAAGATAACAATGAATTCCTGTTTTCATATTCGCCTAAATTCACTGAAAATCTGTTTTCCATTCATTCCCATTGGAATGCAAAACAGAAACAGTGCAAGGGACAAAACAAAACAGAACAAAGTGAGAGGAAGAGTGTTGGTCAGTTGGATAAGATGAAGAGGGAGAGAGTTCTAGAAGAGACTGCAAAGTACATATTGGCTGATTCATGTGAGAGAATGAAGAAATGCAGAAGAGTGTGTAGGCAGGAAAAATTGAAGACTAGCAGAGAGCACATATAACATGAGAGTGAATATGGGATATGGGAGATATTTAATTGAAGTTTGATATAAAAGAGATAAAAGTAAAAAACTAGGAGAGAGGATGTGGACCATATAATGCATTGCATAATGTCCTTATCATGTAAACAGCAAAACCTGATAAAATGCTAAATGAATGCAGAATTCATTCTAGAAGGGCATAAAATTGTACCTCGTATTGCACAGTACCGCCAGAAATTGCTGCCTGTCTAAGGGTAACATTGCTAATTGCACCAATGGCAGAAAGAATACAAACTGTCCTAGGCCCTTGCTTTGAAAAGGCCACAATCTTTCCAGCTATATCCTACAAACAACAGAAGCACTAATGAGAATATTTGTTAAAATAGAAAGCCTCACCAAAGCCTGCCAATAGAAACTTAATAATCAGCTTAAATTAATTCCAAAACTCCACCCCTAAAAGTAAACATACAAAATTATACCCACACTACATGACATGATAATTCCACATCAAAACAATGAATCTGTGAATAAAACCAACGTCTAGCTTTTTCCAAGAGAAGCTTGACCAACAACACCATTATTTTATTGATTTAATATCATAATTAATTCCTTCCTTTCTCACAGGGGAAGAGGCAGAAGATCCGCAACAAATTAAGATATATTTTCACATCCATGCCACAAACCAGGAGTGAAAAATAAGTTTGATGAGATAGGATTTCCCCAAGTGTGAAGGTCAGAAGAGAAAAGGGAGAGACTGAAATGGGAAAGGGGAAGAGAACAGGGTGGAACAGAAGAATTCAGATTCGATTTACTGTCAATAAGCAACAACATAACATGCCTTCTGAGATGGGTACCTCATCTATACTAACCTAGGCGCTTAATGGTCATTAACACACTGTGAGCACAACTAACATACAACAAATATAACTAATTCCTGAGTCCATGTATATTTACATAACAAAGTGCCTTGTGCATTTACGGAAATTCAGAAAGAGGAGGAAAAAAGAGAGAAAAGCTAATCCATTTCTCTCTATCCGGCAATACTATAGAAGATCCAGTGAGGTTTAATCATCTCCACAACATAATGGTCAGACCATAAAATAGGACAAACAAATACACCCTATAAATTATCCAATTAATTTGATGAAGGAGTTTGCCCCATTCATAGTAATAATCATATGAGAATTTGATGCACTTAAAGGCACAGAGATCATTAAGAACGGAGAAGGGAAGACAAAAGCATTGGATTGGCATGTATACATGAAACAAAAACCAGTCTTTTGAGTTCCGAAACATATAACATGTGGGCTCAAGGGTTTAATCAAAATATAGGCTCTGGTGGGGTTGTGTGCTCAGAGCCCCAGAGTATGCATTTGGGCATTGAGATGGCATGGCATCTAGGTGTCAGCAAGCCTTGGATGGTGATGGATTCTGTGATGGATATGAATCTTGTCAAAGGATGCTCTTCTGCGCACTCAATGAGCCAATTAATTATTCATAGTAAAACTACTTTACAGAAGGATTGTGCTGTTAAAATCACAGAGACACAAACAGTGAAGGAAACAAAGTCAGTAACTTGTTAGCTAATCAAGCTCGCGGTAAAGACATTGACTTTCAATATTTGAGGAGGCCACTCGCTGGCTGTTGTCAAATTCTTGTTGACAATGCTTTTAGGATTTCCTTTACTTTGGGTTTAAGCTGGGCATGTACTTTCGGAAGGAGGGAAAAAACCTTAACATTTCCTGTTCAGATAAAGCTCTCATTGAATACTCAATTCAACTATCCGGGCACCCAATGGGAAAGTATTGAAAATTTTCTTTTATGGAAAAATAAAACTAAGCCTTGAAATAACCTTAAAAAGAATGTAGCTCAGTCAAGCAAGCTATATATTTTAGCAGAACAGGACAGTAATCGTCAAAAGACTGTTAGAAATTGGACGAGTTACAGTTACAAGCAATAATAACATACCACAATTTCAAATCATTCCAATCATATATGTTAACGGTGAATCTGGACAAAGATTTAGTTTACAAAGTCGAAATTTTTAATGCTCAATTTGTACATATGGCATATGTTCTCCCGTCATATCCACATCGTGTAAATAGAAGACTCATTTGCTTCAATTATTAATTTTGGGCATCTCTTGAAAAACGACTCATTTATGAAACTGGGAACTAGGAATTTCTCATTATAAAAATGCTGCGAGCACAAAATTATCATCAAGTTAATGCAAACCCATCAAACTTTAAACAGTATCTACTGTGTTCATCATACCTCACCGGCTTTTACCAATATCACGTGCGGGGTAAAACCAATACCGCCAGTTCCTGCGCATCAGCAGAATAATAAACAATCGAAACAATTTCCAATGATAGAACAAAAAATCCCACAACACACTAGTTCAAACAACAAATACCAAGAGCATCCAGCTGCCTTTTTCCAGAACCCGGTGGCCTTCCCCTGTGCTTCTTCGTTCCAGGTTCCGTCGAAGGGGTACCACTCGAATCTCCTTGACCAGCAGAAGTAGACATAGGCGTGGGAGTCAAACCCAAAGCAATGTTACCATCCGGCGAATACTTCCTCGGCCGGCCTCTCTTCTTCTTCGTAGAATCAATATTAAACCCACATGGCCTCATCGCGGACGATGACCCATCGAAAGGACTAGCATTGTTGTTTAGATGTTCCATAGGTTTAGACGGAGCAGGGGGTTGTGGAACCATGGTGTTGAAGGGGAATCGTGCGGCGGTGGCAGGGGCCATCATCGCGGCCGTCGAATTGGGGCTGATCATGGGAGATGTGTTCGGGTTCGGCATGGCAGAACCATATGAAGTCGGTCCCATCATCATGTTTGGCGCCGCTGACGGATGTTGTGCTTGTGCCATCGACTGTAGTTGCGGCGGTTGAGGGGGCTGAGGAGGTTCCCGTGAATCCATAACAGTAGATCAAAACAACAAGAACGAGTTTTTGAAGCTTCCTAAAGCGAATGCTTGAAGACTCCAAAAGGGGAAGCAAAATGCAGGTTACCGGGACTCAGCGAGTTATCTTCCGGGAACCAACCCCCTTCGATGAGAAAGAAGAGTCGCTCACGACACTGTGCGAAAGAAGGACAATGAGTACGCTCAAAAATTAAAAATACAAAACTGAGGAATGAAAAAGGCGGAGCCCAGACTCATGCGAGCTTATATAAAGCGGGGTTTTTATATTTTAGGGTTTTAGAATTTTTTTTCCATCGCTTTGTTGAATTTGTTATTCCTCATTATTATTTTATTTTAACTCAATTAAATTATATTTTTAGAAACAATACAAGCAATTTGCTACTTCCTCCATCCCTTCTTATAATAAACAATCTCTCTTATCATAATAGTATCTCTAAATATGAAAAATAAATATTTTTAACTAAAATTTTAAATTGATTTTTCTATTTTTATCCCATTAAATATATGTCACTTATTATATTTTTTTAATAATTTTTTATTCATTATCTCATATGTACTCTCTTTACAAACAAGGGTAAAATTTGTATTTATATATCTTATATATTTATTACTTTTAAGTAAATTTAGTATTTTATAAGTACCACTCTAGTCCTATATGTATGTCACTTGTAAGAAAAAAATTTGATTTTGAATATAAGTAATTTTGTAGAGTAATTAATGAATTGTTTTTCAATTTTATTCTTATTGAATACAATCAAAGAAATATGTGAGAAAATATGTACAGCATATTTTTTCAATATCCTTTTTATTAAAAAAATTTAAAAATTTTATCAATTTAATATATTTCTTAATTTCAGCAAAAAAATATATTTCTTAATATGTGAGAATAAGGTACGAGTAACTTACGTATATGATCAGTCATATCACTAACTTATTTTTCACATATTGATAAAACTAAGTCGAGACGTTTCTTTCTCTTTTCTTATAATATCGATTAAATGTTCCTGAATATTTTGAAATATGCATGGTATATATCAATACAGATAAAAGTAATTATGTTATCTTTATATGGTGTAATATATTATTCATTCGATTCATCTGCTAATTCTATTTAAAATATATACTTAAGATATGAAAAAATGGATAATTGAATAAAAAATTAAAATTAAAATGCTTTAATAGGAAAATTACTATTAAGAACAGATTAACAATATAATTTTTGCTTTGCTGTGATTCTCTCCAATCCACAAACTATTTTGTGTAACAAATATATATCTGTATAATAAAGATATCCTAACTGAATAAATTTAAAATATCTTTATATTTATCTACATCCACAAATATATTAACACATAATCTTGTGTATTTGTTCCTAATAATTTGCATAATATTGAGTGTAAAATAAAAATTTCTCATATTATCTATTAAAAGAGAAGCTAAAGCAGCGATGGAGACTTGTATGACTCAATTGTTTGACATTTTCTAACGACCCATTTTAAATGGTACAATTAATTAAGGTTTACTTGATTGTTGTCGGTAGTTTCAAATAGCTAAAAGTTAGTCCAATTAAGAGCTATTCCATATAGAGGCTAAAAAAATACAAAACATAAATTGCATAAAATATTCAATTCTCTTTTAAAAATTCATAGCTTAATAAATACATTTATACAGTGTGATCCCGCATCTCTAGCCTCTAAATTAATAAACAGTCATAGAACAGTGGTAAATTATTTTAATTTTACGTGGTACCATGTTTATATGGAAAAATCAGGGAGAAAGTAACAGGGGGCTGAGTCATTTAATTGCGTGAGATGGATCTTGTGGCCTGGTAAAACTTGCCTCGATCTTTTTAAAACCCCAAAAAAAAAAAATCAAAGTTGAACTTTCTTTAAAAAGTCTCGTGTAAGAAATGAATGATTGTGAAGAATGATCTAGGCTACCTTATATTATATTTATAGTTGATCATAGTTTAATTGAGTGCTTTAACGATAAAGATATAAGAAGAGCAGTAGTGTTATGTCCTTTAACTTTTATTATCAATAGCTTCACATTACTAAATCATAGAAATACACATTATCAAGTGTTGAGGAGTAACAAAATTAAGAAGAAAATAGGAAAGTTATCCAAAACCAAACTGCATATAATATTCAAAGGGTTAAGGTTCTAAATTGCCCCAGAAGTTTTTCCTGAGGAGCACTCAGCACCCGGAAGTTTTTGTTTGTTCTTAAATATCCCGGAAGTAATTTATCGTAGCAATTATGCCCCGAGTTAACGTTCAGGCAAACGGACGTCTGTAAATGACACAGTGTCGAGAAGATGGACGACACGTTGGTGAATGAAATGGTGACGTGGCACTGTTGTGTCGACAAAATAAAAGTTGATGCCGAAGGTCAATGTTGTCATCAAAGGTCGCTCTTGTCGTCGACACTGAGAGCTAGGGTAAAGTAAAGTGAGGTGGGGCGCATGTGAAGTCTGAGAAGAGGACAGAGCAGAGATTCGACCGGATTGAAAAGGTATGGAATAGTAGATCCTCGTCATTAGGTTCTTATTTTCAAATCCGGTGTGGCGAAGTAATTTTCTTTTTTTAAATTAGTTTAGGGTTGAGGTGAGATGACAAGGAGGGGTGGTAGTGGTCCCGGTGGTGGTCCCAGTAGTTCACTACCAGGGGGTAGTGAAGAATCGGGGGATTCGTACAGTATCGTGGGTGAATTTGAGAGGGCTTTGAAGACAATTGATGAAACGAAAAAAATGTTTGGATGTATGTTCTGTAAATGTTGGAGAGTTAAATAACATTGATGTAGCAAAGTTGATAAATGGTGGTCATTTATCGATAAGCTGTTTGATAAATGAACTTATCAATAAGCTACTCGATATAATTGAGCCAATTTCATAAACTTTTGTCCGATAAGGTTATTGATAAATGGTATTTATCGATAAGGACTTCGATAAATAAAAGAAACAATTCAAGTCCTCATTTATCGATTTGTTAATCGATAAATACCCTTATCGACTAATCAATATTAATCAATATAAATAGCTTTGTGTCTTCTACTGTTGCACATCCCACGTATCCTTTGTGTCTTTTACTGTCGCATATCATACGCATCCTTTGGTAACACCATTCTAACTCAAAGCTTATTTTCAACTATATTCTTGAATATATATTAGAGAAATGGTCTTCTCGAATATGTATTTGAGAACTGGTCTTCTTGAATACATATTCGAGAACTAATCTTTGGTCTTCTCTGCTCTGTCCTCTTCTCAGACTTCACATGCGCCCAACCTCACTTTGCTTTACCCTAGCTCTCAGTGTCGACGACAAGAGCGACCTTCGATGACAACATTGACCTTCGGCATCAACTTTTATTTTGTCGACACAACAGTGCCACGTCACCATCTCATTCACCAACGTATCGTCCATCTTCTCGACACCGTGTCATTTACAGACGTCCGTTTGCCTGAACGTTAACTCGGGGCATAATTGCTACGATAAATTACTTCCGGGATATTTAAGAACAAACAAAAACTTCCGGGTGCTGAGTGCTCCTCAGGGAAAACTTCCGGGGCAATTAAGAACCTTAACCCATATTCAAACTCCACAAAGATTCAAATTGCATTAAGCAATTCAGAAGCAAAACGTTGAAATCACCTCCACAAGCAATTTGATATCATAAATCATATTAATCACAACATCAAACAACTGCAGTAAGATAATTGAATATGATATTTAAAAGCGAAGACAAATGAAAACAAGAACTCGAAAAATAGTAAAAGTGGGGCAGACAAAAGAGTAAGATGTTTGAGGGCTTATTTGGATTGACTTATAAGTAACTTTTCAAATATGATTTACGGAATACGAGAAAAATATGTCAAGAGGTTTTATTTCAACTTACGTGAACTTATTTAAAAGTGCTTTTTCAATAGAACTCTAAACAAGTCCTAAGGGTGTGTTTGGATCAACAGTGGAAGATGTTACTTTTTTCTAATCTGACTTTTGCAAAAGTCAGATTAGGTAAAAGTTAGGTAGTTTATATGATTTATGTTTGAATTGACTTTTGTATAAAATCAATTTGAGAAGCTGAAACTTATTTGAATGATTAATAAAAAAATAAGTTTAGATATAAAATGACTGAAAATGACATGAACTTTATTAAATGGTATATATTTATATTATATGTTCATAATGTGATAATTTTCAGAGAATAATTAAAATTAAAATTATAAAAATAAAAATAGTTATTTTTTAGAATAATTAAAACTAAAATAATATATTTAAATTTTAGGAAAATTTGAGAAAAAGTTCTCCTATTAAAAATATAATTAGTGGCAAGGATTTAAATCATAATACAAGCATTCTATATCTATAATATTTACACTTAGTATATAAAAATTTATCAATTACTTCTTACTAATTAAATTTTTAATAGAACATTTTTCTCAATTTCCATAGATTTTATAAATATGATAGAAAATAATAAAAATAATAAAAATAATAAATTTATTTCTTAAAAAATGGTTTTATTATTCAAAAAATAATTTCTTTAATATTAAGGACTAACTCAAGTGGTGGGGTTAAAAAATTAAAAAAAAAAGCACATCATGCATATATAAAGCATTCTCTCTCCTCCCCACTCATGGGCCCCACCTATTCAAACGTGTAGTAGAGAAGTTGAAAGCAATAAATTGGAGCTTTTGGAAAAAAGTTCGTTTTAGGCATAAGTCTATTTACCTCCATAGCCAGTCCAAAGGTGTTTTAAACAAAAAGTTGCTTTTTTTTCGCTTTTTCGGTGGAGAAGTCAATTTGGGAGCCATGACTATGATCCAAACACATCCTAAATGGGTCTAAAGTAATCGACAATTAGGATGGACTAGACAAGCTTCCTCTAGATCTTGAATGTGGTGGGAGAAGAGGCCTTAAAGTCACCAATAAGAAGATTATTGGTCCATTTACAATTAGGCTTACGAAGGACAAATGTGAAGACTCCTTGTTACTCCTTTTGCCTCATTCCCATTCCTTCAATCACTAATTACACCCTACCTAACATGACCAATACAATGTTAATCTCTCAAATCATGCGCTAATAGGAGACGAGAAAACTGGGTAGGCAACCGTTAGCCATTGCATCTTATTTTGAGTTCAAGAAAGTAACTGTCATAAACTGGTCTAGATCCTAACAATTGAACAAACCATAATCACA